TTAGTGGCCGGCCCAGGCCTAAACCACGACAACAATTCAGAGTATCTGGAAGAAAACGTCAAGACCACAGTGGCACCAGTTCTGCAGACCAAGTGATGAGGTGGAAACCTCACCTAGAACTTCATTCTAGCTAATACTTCTTTCTAGATAGTACTACATGAATACTACTAAATGAGACACATCTCATTTTCAGACCTATCTACGGGGGGTGGGGGGAGGGGGGGGAACACAAGAGGGAAAATCATATCTAGTAGTTGAAGTCCTCCAGGATCTGCTCTTGAGGACGTGTCCAACTGAATCACAGGAAAGCTTGTTGTGGCTAGGTTCCTATCTGTCTAGAAGGACGGCAATGCATCAGAGCAGGGTAATGTTGCTTTGTTCTGGTGCAAACCAGAAGGCATGGAGTATAGCCCAGGCTCTCCAGCCCATCTGGAGAGCCTAGGAATCGCAACTAGTCAGAAAGAAGGCAATGATACAGAAATAGCAACTGCTTGATGGCAACAGTGAGCTCCAGCCCTACAGCTTTCCTGTCCGCCATGTTCCTCCTTCCCTAAGAGCAGTCTCAGGAACAGATTTTCTCTGTCTGTTCACAGTGCTGTTGGATCACCTCGGCAAGGTCAAGACACCGCAAAATTCGCCATTTCTCAGCAGCCAGCTCCTCCTTGGATACCTGGCCCAGCAGTTTTTTGGCAAAGAGGTTCTGATCCTGCATGAAAAGGCCCACACCAGACCTTGGGGCTTGAGGGAAGTTCTCCAGGCAACCACTTGTGAAACAGAAGTTGATTTTCTTTTCACGTCTCATCCCTGGTCCCCTTTCTTCAATCCAAGTCAGAGGTCTGGTGTGGAGGAACAGAGAAAAAGAAGAGTATTTATGAAGAAATGGAATCAACAGTTCTAGTTTATGCTTTTTTCTCAGCATCTACAGAAAACGCCCTAATAAATGAACCAATGTTCTGACCAACATGCCTTGTGGTTACAGAGTTGAACACCAGGTAAGAGTCTTAACTCTGACACTGCTTCATGCCACGACTTTCAGCACACCATCTAAGCTCTCTCCAGCTTTGTCTTCCCTGTGCACAAAGTGAAGCCAGCATGTCTAGCTATCTCACAGGGAAGTTTAATCTGTTTGTGGGCTTGGATGAAAAGTGGAGTTAAACATTCAAATATTTTATGCATAATTCAATTACAGCTAAACTCACAAGACACCCAATGTCTAGTTATTCCTCCAGCAAGAATAAATTTACATCACTCAGGCACACGATGATGACCCAAGCGCTACTGTGCAAGCTGACCACCACCCCTTTAGGATGAGCTGGACAGATGGCAAGTTGAGTCATGAACACACCAGTGTTCATACTCCCTGAGCTTTGTAAATATGTTTCTTTCTCTTCACTGGGAGCCCTGAGTTGATCCTAGAGATTACACCAGATGTTGCCTTTTTCAGCTACATAGACTATCAGGTAGGTCTTTCTTAATCAGAGCAAAGTCCTATCTTATGCCAAAGTGATAGACACAGTCTCTGCGCCAAGCACTGGTACTGTTGGCTATGGTCGCATAGCTCACACTTTCCTCCCTAACTTCACAGTTTGCCAGGGAAAGAAGAGCCATGGGACATGCTGTACCGCTTCAGTGGTCTTAACAGACTCCCTGGGAAACACTTGCAGAGGCTTTGAGGAATGGTCCTCAACACCAGCCACAGCCATCATACTCCCTTTCTGCTCTTTTGTCAACTGCCTAAACCATGCCATTACCTTTCTGCAGCTCATTCATCAGCCTTCACTATCGCCTGTGTTTAGAGGATGCACATTATTTTTCTTACTTGGTTATTGATGGCCCTTCCACAGTCCTTCATGGCCCACTTTAGTCTGTCAATCACAAATTCTGAGAGCATGAATAGGATGGAAGAATAAATCCTGTCTCTAAGTACTGCCCATTAAATCTTCAATATCATTAGATCTGGAAAGAGAGTCCTTTGTCAGTCTACCCTGAACACATTCTGCAGAGCACTCAGCTTAATGATTCTGCATCTCTCATCTTTTATGCTTTAGGATCCAGTTTCTACACTCACATTATTGTACCAATTATCCTTGGCTCACCTGTATTGCCACACACACTCCCTACAAATTAAGCATAGCCAGGTTAACCTGACTCAAGAGAATAAAACAACTGGAGAAGAAAAGGACTCAAATCATAGCCTGCAAAAATGTACCAAAAAATCCTCAGAGGACTAATAAATGCAAAGACACCATGCATTTCAGGAAGTCCTGAGGCTACATGTTGCTGTAGGCTAGAAGGGTGCTTGAGGGCTGTATCAGTTGGTGCTTTCTATGTTCTTATCCTCCTTACCCAAGGTGCCGGCTGTTGACCTCAGCCAGAGCCAGGCTGCTGAGCAAGCTGGGTTTTGCTCGGACTCAGAGCCAGTTTTATGTTCTTATGAAAGCAAACAGTCACAGAGGGTTCAGGACACTGTTACTCAAAGTTGCTTTATCTCAGGTAGGCAGGTATGAGGAAACCACTGGGCAGGCACAGGCAAAGACCTTCACCGTGTAATGAAGGGGAATCCATGGTATGATCCAAAACAAGCAGCGTCAATGCAGGTTCACCTCCCTGGGGTGATCAAGAGCAGATGTACACCAATGACCAGGATCAAGCATATATCATCTTCTCCTCTAGCTTGGGGAAGCCACTGAACCAGACGCATAATCATGCAGAGCGGGCAGAATTTAATCAAAGTGATTAAAATGACTGATTTAGATCAGTGAGCAGGAAAATGTTGGTTTTACTAATAGATTTATCTTCTGTGATTGGATTTTATTTCTTTTCCCAAAGAGAGGTTGATTCTACTTGACTGGTAACCAAAACATGTTAACTTTTAATTAACAACTTCTACACTAAAATCAGTCCGTTTTTTGCTATAAAGATATGCATGCTGAAAGTCTGTACATTACTTAAGCAACTTTGCAGCTTAAGGAACAGGTTTGTATTTTGTGTTAGAAAATTGTGAAGAACTGCCAGGTTTTTTAATGGGTAATTCCCCCGTTTTCATTAAAGGTTTGTATAAAAGTATTATCTGGCTATGGATGTAGTTCATTATTTAGAAGTGTTAGTAGTTTTACTTAGAAGCAACAAATGCAGCATTTTTGGTAGCTAAATAAAGCCATATTAAATATGTCAGACAGTTAAAGAAGAAAAAGAAACTTTAACCAAACACTAACAAACCACTTTTATACTGACTTCTTACAAAGCAAGTACTATCTGCAGTGAAGAAACCACCCTGACTTTTTGTGGTCATTTTGACTTTCCAGATTTTAGATTGGCAGAGCTCTCGTACCTACATTTTATTCAAAGACTGGAAGAGACTTACTGCTTTTCCAGTTCCTTGTTTCTTCAAATGACTGGCCCTAGTTGGACCATCCTAGTTAAATAAGCCAAAATGAAGCGCACACTCTTTGTAACTGCAGAAGAATTCAGCTGGTTTCATACTTGAAAGAATTTTGGGTCCACTCAGCTTAGTATTTTATGCAGCACCTTCTGCAGAAAGTAGGTATCATGATTTTTTTATGGATGTGCAGTTTTAAGCTTTATTAGACTTTGTAAGCTTAGATCTCAATACAAACATAATTTCAAGCATTTATTGCCAGAATATGTGTTCAGAAAATATCTTCAATTTCTTTTAAACATCTTCCTTTTCATGCTTTGAAAATGCCAATATTTTTATTTACCATGCAATCAAAAAGGGCTACCTTAGTTTGGATGGGAATTAGACAATTAGATCCTACCTCTAGATAACATCAAAAAAGACACTGCCCAAATTATTTTTTTCTCCAGCTCACACTAAAAAATCATGTTTCACATTTACTGGATCAAAGCTCCATAATCCTGGGACAGAAACTGCAGCCCCAAACCAGCTGTGCTGTCAGCAGAGGTTTGGCTTTTCCTGGATTGCTCAGTGCTTTATCACAGAGAGGCTGCCAGCTCAATTGTCTTGGAAACACAAGAGAGGCAGAGGTCAGCTCTCTGATAGCTGGGCATCCAGCATTAACACACACCTCCAAAATCCACCCAGAGACAGATGAGCAGCCAGTGCGGGCTGTGCAGCCGTGACAGACTACAGCCTCTGCCCAAATCCCTGCTTAATGAGCAGAACACAGGCTGCTGCGTTCTGCACCTGCTGTATTTTCCAAGAGAGAAAATAGGCTGAATTAACCTGATTTTTCAAGGTTAGTGTATTCATGTCTTTTGAAAAAAAGATGAGATTGCTCTCAGGAAAGGTGCAGACCTTTCTCATCCTTCAGCAAAATAAAGACTGGGCAAATCAGAGCTATAACACCACCACCATGACAGCCAGGCCATAAGTTCACTTGATGGAGAGTGGGCCAAATTCTCTACTGCTGTAACTCCACTGACGTCAATAGGGGAGGTAAGCA